AGTGACTGCTCCAGCCCCAGAGACCAGTGCTGTGGCAGCAGTCATCCTGTGGCAGCTGAGGAGAGGGGCTGTGCCCCCATTCATGGCAGCTTTGGCATTGCCATTTGCTGGACATCGTTGTTTCATCATTGTGCCTCCTGAGTGAAGGGATGCTGGTTTCTTTTGTCCTGGACCTTGCTGATCCTTACTGATTTAGGCATCTCTGCCATCCTTCATGTGTTCCTGCATCTTAGAACTGCAAAGTCCTGCACGTAGGACAGAACAGTCCCATGCACAGGTGCAGACTGGGGGCTGACTGCCTAAGCAGCAGCTCTGCAGAAAAGGACCTGGGGGTTACGGTGGACAATAAGCTGAATATGAGCCAGCAGTATGCCCTTGCTGCCAAGAAGGCTAATAGCAACCTGGGCTGCATTGGTAGGATTGTTGCCAGCAGATCAAGAGAAGTGACTCTTCCCTTCTTATTCAGATGTGGTGAGGCCACATCTGAAGTACTGCGTCCAGATTTGGACCCCCTAGTACAGGAAGGACGTGGACAAATTGGCGAGAGTTCAGCAGAGGGCAATGAAAATAGTTAGGGGGCTGGGGCACATGACAGATGAGGAGAGGCTGAGGGAGCGAGGTTTATGTAGCTTAGAGAAGCCTGAGAGGGAATTTAATAGCAGCCTTCAACTCCCTGAAGGGGGGTCCCAAAGAGGATGGAGCTGGACTGCTGTCAGTGGGGGCAGATGACAGAACAAGGAGCAAGGGTCTCAAGTTGCAGCAAGGGAAGTTTAGGTTAGATATTAGGAAGAACTTGCTCATGAGGAGGGTAGTAGGGCACTGGGACAGGTTACCCAGGGAGGTGGTGGAATCTCCATCTTTAGAGGTTTTAAGACCCAGCCAGACAAAGCCTTGGCTGGGATGATCTATTTGGGGATGGTCCTAGTTGGAGCAGGGGGTTGGACTAGATGACCTCCCGAGGTCCCTTCCAGCCCTCATTTTCTATGAATCTGTGCCTTTATCTCTGCCATCCTTGATGGATTTTTTCCCCTTGGCTCAGCAGGCTGGCACCCCTTCCAGTTTAACTCTGCCGGGGCACACACCACCACTAGGAAAAGGAGAAATTCAGGGTTTATCGCACCTGGCTCTGGAGCAGGAGGGTCCACGGGGCAGTTCTGTGCTAATGGGCTAGGAAAGAACTGGGCCTTAACAAAGAGCAGCTGCTGAAAGTGGGAGCGGGCTGTGCAGGCCACGGGGGTAGACGTTTCACTCAGCCCGTTCCTGTGTTCCAGCTGCTGGATCTGGGGAGGAACGGAGAACACAGCCGCGCCACACTCGACGATCCAGAGGAGGTAAGTGCCTGACACGTGGATGATAACTTCTAGGAGAGGCCTCCCACGTGAGCGTGGCCTGACCTTTCTGGTTTCCCTGGGGTCAGCCCTATACAGCAACTTAATCCCATGCCTGTCCCAGCTTCTTCCTCCACCTGGGTTGTGTGGCTTTACGGCCTATTCTGGCCCCAGCCTTTGCAGCTTGTCCTGGTGCATGGAACGAATGGGGCAGGCCCCTTTTGATTCAGACTGAGCCCTGAATGTGCCCTCTCCTGCGCTTCTCCTGGCAGAAGCAGCAGCTGAAGGAGATCCTGGAGCGAAGGAGCCACACTGAGCTCTATGAACATGAGAAGGATTTGATGTGGAAGATGAGGTACCACATCCGGGACCAGTACCCAGAGGCCTTGGCAAAGCTCCTGATCATCACTAAGTGGAACAAACACGAGGACGTGGCCCAGGTGAGGAGGCCACAGGGTGGTTCTGGCCCAGGAACGCAAGGCAGGAGCAAGCATCAGCCCCAGTAACAGGCCCAGCAAAAAGCTGGGCACAACATACAGGTGTTCTCTCCCCTTTGCCCTGCATGCAGGTACTGCGGTGCGTCTCAAAGTCCTTTGGGCCCTGAGCACCCAGGCTTGGGGACTGTTACGGTGCAGACAGCCAGTGTCGTAAAGCTTCTGGATGAGGAGGAGAACTGTCAAACAGCTCCACGGAGCCCGAGTAGCTCGTGCTCCCCTCCCAGGCTTTGCCACTGTCACTGTCTCCATGTTAGTAGGCCCGGTAGTCCTGTGAAACCCTCTGAGAGAGTCATGGTATTGTCATGTCGGGAGCTCTTGCAAAGCTCCAGTTTCCCAAGTGCTATTCAAGGCAGCAGTGACCAACAAAGGAAGGTGGAGGGGACTGACGTTTAGTCTAGGAAAAAAAACCAAGCGTGTCTGAAGGGAGATAATGAGCTAACTTATCAGGTCCTTGTGAAGAGGATGCTGATCGGTCCCCACCATATCCACGGGAACATGGATGAGAAGAAATCGGTTTAATGTACATGCACAAAAGATTGAGGTTGGATAACAAGAAAAGGTTTCTAACCCTGAGGGAGATGAAACACCTGTCTGGGCCGTGCAGGGAGGGAGTGAGATTCCTATAGGAGATCCGTGTGTGGGAAGCTCCTTAGAGCAGGTTTGGCAGATGCCTGTTCAGGGCAGTCATGGTCTGCCAGATCCTGCCTCAGTGCAGGGTTTGGCTGAGGTGGCCTCTGGAGGGCCCCTCCAGCCCTACACGATACTGTGTCATTGGTCCTAGCTCCCATAGGCATATACAGGCACTCAAGCGAAACACCAAGCAAAATGCTTTGGACTTGGGGCCTGGGTCACTACTTCTGCCTCTTGGGATGTCTTAGCCCCTGCCCCTGCCGCCCAGCCCTTCCTGCTCAGACTTCTTACCCAGCGTCATGTTCTTCTCCCTGTAGATGATCTCCCTGCTCCAGACCTGGCCAGAGCTGCCTGTGCTGAGCGCCTTGGAGCTGCTGGATTTCAGCTTCCCTGACCGTTATGTTGGTTTCTTCACTATTAACTCCTTAAAAAAGCTGACGTAAGTGCCCGGAACTGCAGGGCCCCTCCCCAGTTGGCTCCTGGATTGCAGAGGAGGATCATGGGCAAATGCATGGGCCTTATCTGCATGTTTGTGTGGGCCTGACACAGTGAAGGTGACATCTCTGATCTCTTTTCCCCGCCCCCCCCCCCCCACCCGAGA